AAGCTGTTTTGTTGTGAGAAAAGAATACTGTAGATTTTAGCTGATAAGCCGGCTGATAAGTTAAAGCGAACACATGGTGTCGGCAACATCAGCACTAATTGCGGGGCTAATGAAGAGAAAACAAAGACAGACCACATAAAAAAAACATGGAGGAAAAGGTACATTTCTAATTTTATTATTTAGGCCGGGATTGGAATTCCGGAGGATGTAGTATCTGCAAGTGTTATTGCTATGACATGCTAGTATCCTTTAGTTGTAAAACTGGTGATACGATCAGATCACGGACGCTGTGATATAACGTGAGCGTGAATGTTTCAACTTGTACGTACAGTACGCGCTTCGTAGAGCAGACGAGCAGTTCATCAAAGGAAACTGCTACCAGGACCAGGAACTCCGAACAGATACCTGTAGTACTGTGGCACTGTGCATTGTCACGCAAGGCCAGGCTGCTTGCTTCCGATTCCTGACCTGACGGATTGCCGGCTGATGCGATGCGTTGCGTTGCGTCGCGGCGCCTGGCAGAAGCCAGCAGTACAGTACACGCCCGCGCACGAACACGACAATGATTCCGTGCCATGGAGCAGACGAAGTCGCCCAGCATTAGTTTAGCGATGCCAATGATAGGAATTACTGTAGAGGAAGTCCGGATCAGCGCTCCTCCAAAGCCGGCGGGCAGCCAGTAATAAAAACCGCGGGCCGCGTACGGACGGAGTCACCGGAGCGCTGTGGAGGCGCGCCTCTGAGCTCTGAGTGGCAGGCCGGGGCATCTAATCCCGTGTCAATGATTGCCTCGGCCTCCGCGCCGCGCCCATCCCGCCATTGATGATTAGTTTAATTAATTAATTAAACAAACAACGCCCGGTCGCCCGCACCCGGCGTCTCGTCTCATCGCAGCCATGATCGCAGGCAGTCGCCGAACAAGGCAACGAGCCGAGCCGAGCAGCGATCGATTATCCCCGCCATGTGGACCTGCGGCTAATATAATCGATCGCTCGCTCGCAAAAGATAAATAATCCGGCTGGATGGCTGGCTGGCCCTCTCCATCCATCGTGGTCGTGGCGCCCGGTCAAGATCTAACCACCGCTCGCTAGTCGCTAATCGCCATGGCCACCACCTTCCCCCGCGTCAGAATACTGCCTGCCTGTTAGGCCTTGTTTAGATACCATCCAAATTCAAGTTTTTTCACTCTCTCTTCATCACATCAATTTTTAGCTGCTTGTATGGAGTATTAAATGTAGGTAAAAAAAAAACTAATTACACAGTTTAGTTGGAAATCACGAGATGAATCTTTTGAGCCTAGTTGGTCCACGATTGGACAATATTTACCAAATAAGACGAAAGTGATACTATTTATCGGGTTGAAAAAAGTTGCAATCTAAACATGTACCCATTCCCGCCCATCGGATCGCAATTCGCGATCGACGTTCCCCGCCGCGTGGCCCCGGGGCCCCACCCGCTAATCTCCCAACGTACTAGTACTTCTGCTAGGTACGCCTTCGTGATCGAATCGCCAGTTGATCCGTGGCGTTGGAGCTGCTGGATCTCTAACTCTGTCTTTTCGAGCGATCGCGTCGTTGATCGGTTACTTACGACTCATCATGGCTGCATTAGTTCACGTAATTATTGGCAAAGCCACAGCTAGGAGTATCACCCTGTTCATTTGATTGTTTCTATGCCTGTGGCTTATAAGTCAGCTAATGCTATTTTATTGTGAGAGAAAAACACCGTATCATAATTTATAAGCATGGCTGATACGATTATGTGAACAGGGTGTATGTTTGTTGCTGGTAGTGCGACTCGCCGACTCCACACACACCGTACCGTGAGCGGAGCGCGCTGGACCGCTGGTGCAGTGCGTGTGCGTGTCCGTGCAGTCGTCGTCCTCCTCTCCTATTACTCCAACTCCACTGGTGATGATGTGGAGGGGGGGACGAGAAAGCTGCCGCCTTTTTTACCGGTGCCTGCCTCTGCCTGTGGCAGGCATCTTTTTTCCCGCTCGCTGCCTGCTCCTCCTCGGTAACATGGCCTCCAATCATTGAGCTGACGAGGAGGGAGTGGGGAAGAGAGAGTAGCGAGTACTGCACTCGTAAACACTGCAGCTGATGCTGTTGGCTGTTGCTCTTTGTATCTGTAGCCGTAGCAGTATGCCACAGAGACAGAGTAAAAAAAAATGCTGTCAAGTGATGGTGAGCACGTGAGCAGGGGATGCGGTAAATTAGGGGCGGAATCACCGTACGGTTCCTCGAGACATGCCGCAGCGGCGAGGTGATGGCGTGATTACTGTACCAATTGGACAGGGATGCCATTGGGGACTTGTTTCGCTGCAGGAGGCAGCGCTGTGGCCGCTGTCGTAGACCGGTCGTAGTAGATAGTAGGGCAGGACCGCAGGAGGAGTAACTGTGACTGTGACCCAGCCCCAATCAGTGACTGCTCCTGCTCGGTGCTCGCAGTCGCAGCCTTGCCCTTGCATATTCTCCTAGTCCCGTCCCAGTAAAAACTGAGCAGTGAGCGCAGAGCACTCGGCTCTCGAGCGCCGCTGTAAAAAGCAAAGCAAGCTGCCCTGGGGGCTGGGGCTGGCTGAGCTCCCGCTCCGGCGCTCCGGTCCGCTCCCGTCCGGGGTCTGTGAACGCCTGAGCAGCGGCACGACGCGGAGCAGACGCCCAGCAGAGATGCTGTGGCTGTACTGTGTTGCGTACTCCCACACATGTCAAGTAGGAGTACAGTTCAGCTGAGCATTGAACGCGCAGGGCTTGGACTGTCCTCGATGGCCAAGGGAACGTCAGTCGGTGATCCTACGCAGCTACGCTAGCTGCAGGTATCGATGAGTAGCGCAACTGTTGCTGTCACTGTAGCGGAAATCCGAGGGGAATTCATGGGCCATCCTCCCAGCGTGTAACTGAAGATGATGAACTGCGTTCCTTTCAGCATTTCCTCCGAATCTGGTACGAGTTGGCAATGCAGTGGCACTTACTGCTGCTTTGTAGTAATTTTGAGCGTACTAACAGTTACCAAGACCATCTTTGGACCTGATCGCTTGAACTCATCAGCTGTACCGTTTCAGCGAAATAACAGTGTTTTTCTCTCACTACAAATCAGCATCAGCATTAGCATCAGCCGTTTTTCTTTTAGCTATTCGTTATCCTGCCATTGTAGATGACTCCCCAACAGTTGAGTTGAAATGCAGCGTAACAGCACACAGCAACGGCGAACAGTGCTCAAGTTATACTAGTTCTACCACTACCACCGTACCATATGCATGGCTCCAGAAAAGAGATGAATGGACACAAAAAACACGGAGCAGACATCAGCAGCCCATCAGGACGTAGGCACACAGTGCTGTGCTGCTGTGGTGTGGCGCCTCCCCTAGCGCGAGCTGTGACTCTGTGAGCACGCCACTGCTGCACACACTGCCGCCGCCGTCGGCGGCGAGGCGTGCGTCGCGTCGCTTCCGCGCCATGCATGCAGCCGGCCAGCTGCAAAGCACAGCTCACGAACAGTGTCCGAGGCACGCGATGGGAAACGGCAGGCCTTGTCCGCTTGCCCCCGGTGGCGAAAGCCGAAAGGACGCGACGCCACGGCGAGGCGGACCGGACACCGGAGTCGCGCGGCGCGTTCTTCGTCCCAACCCGCGCCGCGCACTGCTCACCGCTTGCATGAATGCCAACAGTCTCGTCACCCGTGGTCGTGGACACCAAAGCCATGGACGGAGGGTCGGAGGGAGAAAAGTGTCTGTGCCCATGCGCGCAATCACGTCAAATCCGTGGAGTTCCGGACCCAGGGTGATGGCGCCAACAGCTACCAGCTTTGACTCCCATGTCGCCGTCGTGGACTCGTGACTCGTGTGAAAGCTGAAACGCAAACGCAAACGCAAGCGCAAGCAAAGCCTGCAGGTGTGAAGACTGAAGAGACGGGACGGCGGCGTCCGTGTATGCATGCATGACTCTCGGCGTCCTTCACGTAGAAAATTGGTCAAAGCGGATGCCAAAGAGGCAGCCTTTAGAGAACGAACCGACACGAGGCGTCTCGTATCGCGTCGAGACTTTTGTGCCCGTCCATTCAGGCTCGAAAACCTCAACACTTTTTCCTTTTTCAGACGTTTCCGTTGTGCTCCATCGGCACGTCAGACGAACATCTCGTTCAGATGGCACTGGACACTGGTCCAGGCACTTGGCGGCACGGACTTCAATCTGCTGTGCGTGCGTGCACGGGGCGGTTGCTGAGGTCAAAGATGGGTAGTGTAGCAAAACACCCCCACTTCAACATAGGAGTACGCGCATGATGCGTCAGGCACTCACTCAGACGACAGCAGCCATTGTGCCTTTTGAGTTTTAAAGCCTGTTATCCTCGTCATCGCGTTGGGCGAGAACTGTTTCTGAGCGAACGAACAGGCGCGGCTCACGTCGCTGGAGGACGCAACAGAGCAGGGCCATGTTTTTTTTTGAAGGCAAAGTGCAGGGCCATGTTGCAGCACCCAGCAGCAGACGCAGCAGTTATTCCTTTGCGCCGATGACAAACCGCATGGTATCCCAACACAAGCTGCTCGAGCCCTGCCCGCGCACAGTCAGCTGTTGCCTCTGATTCTGAACCAGTTCACGTCTCAGCTCATGTTTCTGGCTGAGCAGCACGCTGCGTGAGGTCGACACATTCTTCTGCGCACAGCAATCAACAAAGGCAAAGCTACAAATATCAGAGAAGCAAAGGCTGGTCTCAACACTCATGACATTTGAAAATTTGCCGCCATGGATCGATGCAACAACAGTCCAAACTGGCTGTAATGTTGTAAGACCATGGTAGCTTAGACAAAATCGAGTTTTCATGCGGATCAAAAGGAAACTTTTTTCAGAGCACATAGGCAGCCGGTTACACAGACCATTGGGCAATGACTTGTTTCCGTGACATCTCTGAAACATAAATTGCCATGAAGGAAACAGCAACCGTTTCATCTAATGAACTGTGTGACGCTGCTACACCCTGGAGCTGAAACTCTCCAATGCATTGTATTAGAGCTCACTATCAGTTTCTGCCTTTGCACCGCCAGATGTCTTTCCGTTGACGGCGATAAGCTCAGTGTCGAAGATCAGAGTTGCTCCACCTATTGAGTACAAAGGTTCCTGTTAGCTTTATCAAAATTCCTACACAGCTCTATAGTCCATGGGCGAGACTGTAAAATGCGCATCCAGGAGATGAGGTAAAATGGCCATGCTGAAAATGAGAGAATCTAAACAAATAATTTCTTCACATGGAACCAGCAAGCAAGCAAACAAATTATCAGCCATACCTGGAATCTTCGGTGGGGAGCCTCGCTCACCATAACCCATCTTTGCAGGTATCTTTAGCTTCCGCTTTTCACCGACGCACATACCTAGCAATCCTTGGTCCCAACCTATAGATGAAAACAACAAAGTCGGTTGGCGGATTTAAGATTGCGTGTGATATAAATGGCATATGCCATTTCATCCATTTTTTGATGACATGTGCTTGTAGCCCAATACAGTTCTAGTATGAACACTGGGCCATAGATAAACATAGAAAGTTTATTGTTATAGGAAAGGACAATAACCTTTTATCACTTGGCCATTTCCAAGAGTAAATTCAAACGGGTCACCTCTGTCGTAGCTAGAATCAAAAACTGATCCATCAGTGAGTGCCCCCTGCAGCATATGAAGCCTTTCAGCTAAATAAATGAGAGAGAGAAAAAAAGAGAGGAAAGTGACGCTGTAGGTAAAGTACCAAAGAGTGCTTTAATCAAACATGAAAAGGCAAACCATATATGGGACAAGATATTGAATCTACAAAGAGCATACTGCCAAGCAATTAGCACAGTTCTTCTGCATAACTATATTAATTGTGTTAGCTAAGGTATATCTGTAGCACCCATGAGAAAATCCCTTACAGGGCTACATCACTGAAAGATCAATGTGGAAAGTACAGCAAGGCTAAAAAGGTATATAGATCAGATACTTACACGATAATGAACTTTAATTTTGTCTCCTTTGTGTGCTTGCAGGGTACATGACTCAGGCTTGTGCTGAAAGGAACACGAGCAAGAGAAAATCAATGCCACACAGAATCAAAAGGGTACCTCTCCTTTCAAAATGTAACAAGAAAACTACAGCCTTTGCTCATTGATAAATCAAATATTTGATAATACTGTAATTTCATAAGAATAAGCAGAACTTGGCCACACGCAATTCTCCAATATCACACTCCCTAACTGACACGTCGGATTGTAACAAAATATTGTACTTATTATCATGACCCAGTGATTCTTAGTTTTCTGTTTGAACTTTGAAGTGGCAGCCATAATCCAAAAGGACCAAAACAGAGGATATATCCTTTTGAATAAGACCCCAAACAGAGAACTTCAGCAGCATTACAATGGTTATCCCTTAAGAGGTCTGACTGTGAGTCCGTGACTGGAGGCCATAAGTCATCACCCAACCTGGTCCAGAATCTTGATACAAGGTACTAGTCCAATAAAGTCCTTTTCCAACGGTAGCAAATAGGGAGGGAAACCATCTTCAACACAGGCTAGCTGTTGAGGAAATTTTAGACTTCTTCTAGTTTGACTGTTTGAGCATCGACTACAAGAATTTAACGAGAAGTGAACAAGGAACAGTACCGCAATCTTCTCCAGTATTCATCTTTGAATGACACAAAATAAAATTCAAGTGAAAATAAGTGCATTCGATGACTCCACAATGTTGCGTTAAAGGGGAAGAAAAGGAACCGATTTTGCAGTTGCAGATCCGCGTAGCTCCTAGAATCATCCAAGCCGACCCCTTTCTGAACTCTGACAACCTTAGTAACATATCTCAACTGACGCCCACGAAATCGGAGGCTGCAGACTTTTTATTGCTAAATGAACGAACCAGCTAATCCCAGATCCGCCAGAGTCCGCAAGGGTAACAAACAATTAAACGGGCAGAGAGAGTTGACCCGGTTGGCCGGTTACAGCGCACACACCTTGACGCCGATCTGAAGCTCGGTGACGTCGCCGGACTTCTTGGCCGACGCTGCAGACAAATCGCAAGCAATGATTTCAAAGCACATCAAGGCAAACGAAAAGGATGGCGGACGGCTCAAACGAGGCGATCGAGATTGGAGGTAAAGACACCTCGTTACCTGTCAGGAGGATGGCCGCGGCGGCGACGGCGGCCGCGAGGCAGATCAGCTGCCGCTTCTTCCCCATCTCGCTCCCTCCGGGAGTCCTTCTCCACAGTCGCTGGAACCTTCTTCCCCGTGCCCGTTCGGCTCTTTTGACTCTTTCTTGACTTCCTAGTGCCGTCGTCCGTACGTATTGGGTTGGGATTGCTTCTCATTGGGCTCCTGGACCAGACGCATTGTAAGGCCCATTTCTCCATGCGGGTGGAGTCGTCCACTTTCTTGCTGGGCCTGCCCACATTTCGAGTGCCCTGCAAACTTCTCCATGGCCTGCGAGGCTGCGACACTGGAATGGATTATGGATGGATAAGATTGTTTAGCACGAGTAGGTACGCGGGGTCAACGGTGCCCACAGCTTCTACTTGGCCATTACCAGTGAGCTTCGCGAAGGGGTATATCAAATATAATCCGTCGTTATCGTAAATATTATGATTCATATTGGCGCACGTCATTTTTGTGATTTGAGAACCGGGTAAGCAAGCTACTAGGGTTCAACCGTTCAACAGGTTCAAGTAGACAATGCTAGCTGATTGTGCATCCACGTGGAGTCCAACTAAAATAAACCCATTTGGACACTCGTTAGATCATCACTTGGGGAACAAAAAGAGCCATGTATTATTCATTCAAGGAACGATCGATGGCAAAACACACCCCTGAAAACACACCACACACCATAAATGTCTTTGTTTTTTGAGTCCCCATAAGAATTTTAGTTGGGAAGGTCCACCATCCGATGTGACAAGTTCAAAATTAACCATTTCATCGCGCATGTACCCACCTGAATCCAACCATTTTTACCAATGGTAATGGTGTCACTGTAGGGCAAGTTAGTTGAGTAAGCTAGCTTGGTCCAATACTTAGGGTCTGTTTGGTAGGGTTCCTCTCCAGCTTCGGTTTTGGCTCCTCCGGAGGAGCCCTACCAAACGTTTCGTAGGGTGAGCTATTTTTCAGTGAAAACAGAGAAGCCGAAGTCGTTTTGGCCGGCTCCTCTTGAGGGAGCCCTGCCAAACACCCCCCTTAAGGCATATTTGGTTTGAGAAACAGTATTATGTGTTTATTCCTTTGAATTTGGGTGGAATCACCACATTCTTTATGCCTATAATAATTACTGTTAAATTATGAGGGATTGGGTGGTTCTAGATCAACCCATTCACTCCCTGAACAAACAAAAAAAGAAGCAAGGATGGGTAAGAAGAGGATGGTCCACATCATTTCTCACCAAAACCTCCCCTTAAAGTATGTTTATTCACAGCGTTGCGGCAACAAGTTTTGTAGACAGCAAAAAATAGAATCATACACTTTACTTTTTTTGGACCAGTCATTTTAGTGGAAGCCTCAGAAAGGTATATAGTTACACATATCAGGATTATACTTATAGAAGTATCCTGACTTTGAGAAGAGGACTGGGCGAAGGGACCGTGTGGCAAGCGCGGAGAGCACCCTCTCTGCTTCTCAAACATAATTCAGAAACGAGTGGGTAGAAGGGTTGGTTTTGGTTCATTATTAAATTTGAGCTTTTGCAACAATTTCGTCAATCTTGAAATCGGCCAACTAATTTTTCGAAAGTGTTTATAGGGGTGAGGTGTGTATGCATGTATTTAAAGGGATGAGTATGCTTGCATATATTCAAAGGTGTTTGTACCGTGTTTCAAAGAAAAAACTCACGGCTATAACATCGGTGGTGGTTTTTTAATCCTCTAAAAATTAAAATTACCATATATGTGAGCAGTACAATGCAAGACGTTTATATATAAGTAGTACAATACATTTTTACGCTATCTATAAAGAAAGTAGTATAGCGCACTTGTTGCCTTACACTATCTCATCTACAAGCACACAATCATACATACATATACATATACTATATATGCATTCCGTAGACACGTTACACATGTATACATTAATAAATACATACGGGTTCATCACTTCATCTCCATCACAGCGGAAACCAAATACGACACTGAATGGCACACTCGGAATATATATATATATACTGCTCCAGGTGAGCTCTAGCTAATTATATTAATGACACACTTATTAACAGGGTAGTATGTAGTACGCGGGTGAAGAAGGTGTAGTGTAATTGCACGCAGATAGAGATAGTAGACCTGTCGTCGAGGTCGAGAGAGATGCTCGCGAGCATAGATACATGCATGTTGCAAGCATGGCACGCCGGCCGTATGTGTATATGCGCTTCAGTCCTTGTCGTTGAAACCGAACTTGCGGTCGAATAAGTGGCCGACGGCATGGAACGCCGGGCCGAAGAACCCGCCGCCTCTCCTCCTCTGCTGGTGGTCGTCGTTGTTGTTGTTATCGTTGTCGTACCCACCAGGCACGCCGTACACGTGCACCTCCCTGGTGCTGATAAACATGGGCGACCTGGTGCCGTCCTGGGGAGCCCAGAAGGCGGCGGGAGCGTTGTTGTACGGTGCGTAGCCGCCGTCGCCGCCGTAGGGAGCGCCGTTGCCGTAGCCGCCACCGCCGTACGGAGAGCTGTTCCCGTAGCCGCCGCCGCTGTAGTGGTTGCCGCCGCCGTTGTAGTTGCCGTTCGGCCTGTTGTAGCGGTTGTCGTCGGCCTCGTTGTTGTTGTCGGCGTACTTGGGGTAGTCGTCCTCGGCGTCGGCGTCCTTCTTGCTGCCGCTGCCCTTCTTCAGCCTCGAGGACCCGCGTTTCTTGCCGCCGGTTGCTTCATACTGCTGCCCGCCACCGTATCCGCCGTATGGCTGGTCGTCGTTGCCGTTGCCGTTGTCCTGCCCGCCGGCGAAGTATGATCTGCTGTTCGACATCCCTTCCGTTCTGGTACAGTACAAGAGAGTTGATCAAAAAAAGCGAGAGGATACCACGACACAGCAACTGAAACATGCAACACTGCTGCTTCTGCTTGCACGTTAATTTGATCGACATACAGCTATAGCTAAGCTAAAGATAGATATTTGGAGACTCGAGATATACAAACAGTGAAAAGTGAAAATGGGAGAGAGGAAAAGAAGAGGCTTTGATTGGGGCACACACGCGGCGTTCGTACCGGCAGGTGGAGGCACACAGTAGGACCGTGAGCAGCTAGCTGCCTTTGCAACGAGCAGTGAGAGCAAGCAGCCTTAATAAAGGACTCCAAGTCAACGTCTACTCAGTTCAGGTCAAGGTAAAAAATGCACCCTTTTCTCGCAGACATCCGTCAAGCAGTGCATGCGTCCCCAGCTGTTTCGTCACCTGCATATATTAAACATTTTTTTGCATAGCCATAAAGAAATGGTTCAAATTAATTTCTGATCCGGATAAGAGGAGTATCGTCCACCACGTGAAAAACGGTTTGTAATAATGGGAGAAATTTTTTTTAGGAGTGGCTCGTGATGGAGCCGCCCCTACAGTGGCGTGCTCGGGATCCACGAGACCAGCCACCCCTACAAATAGAACAGTAGGGGCGGCTGGTGATACGAGCCACCCCTACAAATGGGTATGATTTGTAGGGGGCGGCTCACTCACCAGCCGCCCCCGATGTTGCTATTTGTAGGGGCGGCTGGTGATTGAGCCACCCCTATAAATACTCTACGTATAAATATCTGGGATTTATAGGAGCGGCTCAATCATCAGCTGCCCCTACAAATGTCCGCTGTATAAATGGTTGTAGGCCCCTTCTTCTTTCTCGGGTCACTCACTTCAACCCGTGAAAAAAAGGTGGAGAGGTCTTCACCTCCCAAAAATTACTCTACTAAGGAGGAAAGATTTTAGTTTCAAATTCTTTGATAGAGAGGTTATAGAAGGTAAGAAAATACTATTCCATACTTTTTTAAAAGTTTTAATGGTTGGTTAGTGAGTAATTAGAGTTTTGCTTTTCTTTCTCTTCTATGGTGCTTGAGCTACTTATGAAATAAATTAGACCCAAGTTTTGAATGTAGTAGGGTAAATTAGGTAGGGAAACAAGATTATACCCTTATTTGGTCCACGTTTCTTGATTTTAGTGAACAATTAATTAGTTTTATGGATGTTTCATGTGCATGTAGATCTAGATTTAGGGTTTGGTTTTTTTATTAATTTTGTTTTTGTAAATTTATGTTTGATGGAATTGGACTAGGGTTTGCATGAAAGATATTGGGTAAAATATAATTGTTGCTAATTGTTGTCTTTAAAATTGTTTATTGTAATCAACAAATATGTATTTTAATTATTTATAGATAAATGGGTCATTAATTAATTTTCCTCTACCATGGTGTGTTTGTATGCTTCATGTAATTATATTTGATTTATATTCATATATATCTAAAGTATATACAATTATACTCAAGTAATTATTAATTTGATTTATTTTTATATACATCTGAATAAGTAGTCCTTTAATGTTTATTTTGTTGTTGTTGTAAAAGAGTACAGGAATTCTTGGATGTATGGTTCGTTAAGGTTCCAAGAAAGGTTTCAGTGAAGAGGTGGATAAATTTATTGAAGCCACAAAGAAGTATGCAACGACGTTGACAGAGAATAAGGATATAATTATTTGTCCCTGTAAAGATTGCAAGAACCATATGACATGGATAGATGTGACTATCATCAGATCACATTTGATTATGCGAGGATTTATTGAGGACTACACAGTGTGGATTCATCATGGTGAAACGGTTATTGTTAACGACGAGGATGAGGAGGAATACGACGATGAAACCGTAGAATCCCTGTCCCAATATTCAGCAGAGCTTGATTCACGAATAGATTCCGAGTTTGGCAATGAACAAGGTTGTGATGCTGGTGGTTGGGATGGTAACGACGAAGGTGGTGTCAATAATGATGGTGGAGCACGTATCAGGGATGAAGATGATTCGGAGGACATGATTCGAGCCCTTGGACCAGAGATTTTACTAAAGAGCCTGTAAGGTCTAGAAAATTTAGAAAGGGTGACAAAAGCATCGAATAAGACTGTGTATGGTGTTGAAAAGGGTTGTCCGACACATTAGACATTGCTATGTTTTGTGCTTGAGCTACTTATCCTGAAGGCTAAGTACGGCTGGTCAGACTGTAGTTTCAATGATCTATTGCATCTCCTATCATGGGTGCTGCCACAACCAAACTCAGTTCCCGCCAACACATACCAAGCGAAGAAGGTCATAAGTCTATTGACAATGGGGGTTAAAAAATCCATGCATTCCCCAACCGTTGTATACTTTTTCATGGCAAAATATTCAAGTCACTAGATAAATGTCCCCGGTGTGGGGCCAGCCGGTTCAAGAACAATGACCTTTATGGTGGGGACGAAGCCTCATAGGGAAAAAGAGGAATAAGAAGGGTACAAAAAAGGTTGTACAAGAATATCAGTCCCCAGAGAACACTTCATTAGGCAAAGATGTAAAGCAGAGAAGAATTCCTGTCTTGGTAATGTGGTACATGCCAGTGATCGACCGCTTGAGACGTATCTTCCTAAACCCTAAAGAAGCCACACTAATGACATGGTGGGATGATGAGCGCAAGGTGGATGATGGTAAGATTGCACACCCGGCTGATTGTATTCAGTGGCAAAGGTTCGATGAGAAGCACAAAGAATTCAGCGATGACCCAAGGAATACACGGTTTTGCTTGAGCACCGATGGAATGAATCCCTTCAATGAGAGGATGAGCGACCACAACACTTGGCCAGTGATCTTGACCATGTACAACATCCCAACGTGGTTGTGTCAGAAGAGAAAGTACCTTCTTCTCACTATTCTTATTTCTGGCCCTAAACAACTAGGCATTGATATAGACGTGTTTCTCGAGCCTTTGATGCAAGAAATGGAGAGGCTATGGAGGCATGGGGAGCCGATGTACGATGTGTTCTGAAAGGAGGAGTTCATATGTAGAGCAATAATATTTGTTACTACCAATGATTACCCCGCGTTGTTTGCTTTGTCTGGACAGATCAAAGGGAAGACAAATTTTTTGGTTTGCTTGGATGGTACTACATGGGTGTACCTGGATGCATCCAAGAAAATAGTTTACCTAAGGAACCGACGCTTCTTAAAGACAAGTCACAAGTACCGCAGCAAATTATTCTTTAGATTTTATGACAACACCCCAGAGATTGAACCCCCTCCGGAGAGACGTTATAACGGAGAACACGTGTATAGAATGGTGAAAAACATACGCGTCGTCTATGGAAAGAAGAATTCGGATAGGACGAACAGAGATAGAAGCACACCTCCTGTCGAAGGCGTACCTTTCAAGAAATAATCGATCTTCTTTCAGTATCTGCCTTATTGGCCAGACTTGGAGGTCTCCCATGCCATTGATGCTATGCATGTGCAGAAGAATGTCTTTGAGAGTCTCATTGCTACCTTGATGGACACATGCAAGTCAAAGGATAGTCTAAAATCACAGAAAGACATGGTGCAGCTAAACGTGATACCACAGCTTCACTCAGTACCTGAGGCTAATGGAAAATACACTCTACCCGCAGCGTGCTTCAACCTAACACTAGACGAGAAGAGAGCTATATGCACTTTCCTGAGGGGGGTCAAAGTCCCGACTGAGTTTTCAGCGAATGTGAAGAAGTTAGTGTCGATGAAGGACTTGTCAATAACACACTGCAAGGCTCACGATTGTCATGTGATGCTGACAGTGTTTCTACCTATTGCAATCAGGGCTATAAAGCCAGAGTTCTTGAAAATGGCCATCACCCACATGTGCTACTTCTTTTCAAAGATCTCACAGAAGACGATTGGCAAGCAAGAGCTGAGTAACCTACATAAATTTGTGGTGGAGACATAAAACCAACTAGAGATGTGTTTACCTCCTGCTTTTTTTATATAATGCCACATCTCATGATTCACTTGGTTCATTAGATACAGGCGCTGGACCCTTGCTACTTGCATGAAATGTGGTCCTACGAGCGGTTCATGTCGGTTCTAAGTCGATACTTGCATAATCGAGCATACCCAGAGGGCTCTATTATAGAGGGTTACAGTACTGAAGAAGTCGTCGAGTGCTGTCAAGAGTACCTAAAAGTACAGAAAGGGATTGGTAAACCTGATTCTCGTCACAAGGGTAGGCTGGCTGGGAAGGGCACCAGTGGTAGAAAAGTGTTCATCGACCATGATTACAAAGAGGTGAGTCGGGCGCATTACAGTATCTTACAGAGTACACAACTGATGCAACCGTACATTGATGAACACTTGGCTATTATTATGGCGAAGAGAAATGGTCATTCGGATGATTGGGTCATGAAAGAACACAAGCAACGACTAACTACATGGTTGAAGGGCCAAAACATACTGCCCGGAGAAACCATAGACTCTATTGTCATCAGTAGGTTGGCGGAGGGGCCATCGAAACAAGTGACATCTTGGGATGCTTATGACATCAATGGGTATACGTACTATACCCACGTAAAGGATAGTAAATATGTGAACCAAAACAGCGGCGTTCGAATAGAGGCTCTCGATGGATTGGAGCGAAAGATCCAATACTTTGGCATCATTGAAGAGATATGGGAACTTGACTATAGAAGGGATATAACGGTGGCCTTGTTTCGATGCCGCTGGATCAAACAACACCAACTGAACGAGATCGGATTGAGAGTCCTGCACCTCGAGAATCTAGCCTACTAAGATGACCCATCGGTGCTCGCTTCACGTGTCGCACAAGTTTTCTATATGTCTGACCTACAAAATAACCTCCCCTCGAAGAAGAAGACAAAGGACGTGGTTGCCTCCGGGAAACAGCACATTATCGGAGTTAATGGCGTGGACGATGTTGAAGCTTACAATAACTACGATGAGATGCCGCTATTCACAGACTTTTCCTAAGGAGATCTTGACGAGTTATA